TAGCTGCCATGATTGGGTACGTCTCATATTCTTCTTCCATTAAAAAATGTGTTAATATTGATTTAAGCTATATCTGTTTTTAGCTCCTTCTTTTCTTTTTTTCTTTTTTTTTTACCCACCCGATGTCCGGTACCAGCATTGGAGTCCGATTATATCCGGATTAGCACAAGCGTAGGGCACCATTCGTGGGAAAGCGCTCCCTATCAAGAATTTTTTCATACCCAAGACTCAAATCCGAGACCTCTGGTTAAGGGAAGAGCACCCCATCCGCTGCACCATATCCTGGTGGTAGCTCCTTCCTTTCATGATTAGTGCCTTGAGTTGATGAACAGATAATGCATAAGAGTAGAAAAGTTTTCCTCCCCCGCCACCAATCCCTCCCCCCTCCCCCTCCCCCTCCCCATACATTATAGGACATTGAAACTTTTTAGTTAAAGAGGGGAGATTTCAACTACTCCCTCCGTTTCAATTTATGTGAACCTATTTGACTGGGTATGGAATTTAAGAAAAAATGAAGACTTTTAAAATTTGTGGTCCTAAACAAGGCAAAAAGGGGCCCAGAGTATTTGTGTGGTTATAAAAGCTTCTCATCAAGGGTAAAATTGGAAGTTTAAGCAAAATTATTTCCAAATTTAGAAATGGGTCATTCTTTTTTAAATGGACCAAAAAGGAAATAGGTTCACATAAACTGGAACGGAGGCAGTATTAGTTTATAAAATAAAATGAAAATAAAGTTCGTCCAATTTTGATGATCTAGTATTGAGGTAAATTCCTTTGTCTCTTTCCATCGTCGTGAGCCGAGGGTCTATCGGAAACAACTTCTCTATTCATCCGAAGTAGGAATAAGGTCTGCGTACACACTATACTCTCCCCTGACTCCACTACTTGTGGGATTCCACTGGGTTGTTATTGTTGTAGTAGTATTGAGGTAACTACTAGTGTAGTTCAAACCTACATCATGTCTAAATAGAACCAATTTGGAGTAATAACTTAATGTATTAGATACTAACTGCTATTTGTATTTCAGGGACCTGATGCAACCAAAGCGAACCCCAACCTATTCAAAAATTTTATTAGAGTTCTTTGCAATGCCAACAGTTCAGAAGGATTCATACCATCTAGAGATGTCTCCTTGACAGAAGTAAAAATCATCAATACAGTATCACTTAACCCACCTGAGCTCGGCCAATCACCAACAAATCGTTCAATCCTAGGTTTTTTTGCGGGCGGAGCTCATGGTTACGTGAGAGAACAACTTTTAAAACATTGGAAAGACAGAGATATCGACATTCAAGTCCATGAATACCTCCCAAAAAACTTGAATTATTTCGAATTAATGGGACGAGCAAAGTTTTGTCTGTGCCCTAGTGGTTATGAAGTAGCAAGTCCTCGAATCGTTGAGTCTATTCATGCAGGATGTGTACCTGTGATTATCTCTGATACTTATGTGTTACCGTTTAGTGATGTTCTTGATTGGGAGGAATTCTCGATTCAGATATCAGTTGGTCGGATACCTGAACTTAAAAAGATTTTGGAAGGTGTGTCAATGGAAGAGTACTTAAAGAAGCAGAAGATTGTCATGCAAGTAAGGCAACATTTTACATTAAATAGACCAGCTAAGCCTTTTGATTTGTTGCATATGATACTTCATTCCATTTGGCTTAGAAGGCTCAATGTTAGAGTTCTTGATTAGTAGCTGATTGTCTCTCTCAGAATAAGTAATCACTTGATCAATGTATATGATTTTTCAAACACTCTTACTCTTGCTATTTTAATGATCTTTGTTATGTTCTCGGTGAGTTTTTGTGTGTATTTGTTTACGGTTAGACCATAGATGAGATGATCACACAGTTCAATACAGTAGCAGAGCGCGTAGGGATCCTGGGTTCGAGTCTCAACGTTACCCCTCATATACTTCATCCGTCCAAAAAAGAATGATACGGGTTGGATTTCGAGAGTCAAGCCTTTTAAATTTGATTGAAATCCGAACATAGAATCTTTAAGTGTTTTTAAACAAAAAACATATATGAAAACTATAGAAAAAGTACTATAAGTCACAATTAACAATTTCAAAATATTTAAGCATGCATACAAAATAGTTGTGGTCAATGAGCAACTCATTTGACTCTCAAAATCTGAGGTGTATCATTCTTTTTGCAGCGGAGGATTAAATAATTTCCATGCGCTTAAGACATTCATTTTTAGAAATTTGCAGAATATGGGGACGAAATAATTAGGTCTTGATAGTGTAATCACTATCCTTACGGAATTTAAGCCTCCCACTTTCGTTGTTACAGAGATTATGGCAGAATTCCTCCAAGATTCTACAAAGTATCTGAAATTCGAGTATCAGCTATTAGCTCAAATTTCTACTAGAACAAACTTTGTGAATGGAAGATAGCAGAAAAACAAGAAGATGGAAAATTGTTGCTTTTCTAATCGTTTTGGAGAGGAATTGAGTATTTATAAACCCTTTTAGGTGTCCGCTAGAATTAACAGACTCAACCTTTGCCAACAAGCACCTTTTTAAAACCAATAGTCACGTTTTCAAAATTAGTAAACTGTTAAAAAGTAAATTTTTTACTATTTAATTGGCTCAAGTGCCCAATCTTGACTATTAATAATATAGTCAACTTCTAGTTTCCCTCCAAAACAACCTCTTCTCAAGTACTCCCATCAAACACTAATAGCCTATTTGGCCAAGCTTATTTTAGTGCTTTTTAGTCAAAAGTATTTTTTTGCCAAAATTAAGGTGTTTGGCCAAGCTTTTTGAAGGAAAAAAGTGCTTTTGAGTAGAAGCAGAAGAAGCAGTTTTGGAGAAGTAGAAAAAAGTAGCTTCTATTCAAAAGCACTTTTGAGAAAAATACGCTTAGAAGCACTTTTTAAAAGTTTGGTAAAACACTAATTGTTGCTCAAAAGTATTTTTCAAATTAGTTAGCCAAACATACTTTTTTGAAAAGCGATTTTCTGGCCAAACAGGCTATAACTAATCTAACATACATCAGAAAGAACTAAGCACGTGAGGGGTGTGTACTAGAAAATTAAGTAAATAAATGTTGGCCCTTTTAGATGAGATGGTTTCCCACTTCAGCGTAATTACGTGAACTCCTTCCTTGCTATATCAAAAAGTTCTACGACGTAACTTATTCTTCAAAACCAATTTATTTTTAAAAATACCTTTCAAATCGAGTAATAGAAAACGTGGAACATTTTACCAATATATATTGGAGACTCAACATATGCTTCGCTTGTTCTAGACCAGAAATAGATAAACGTGGTGTACTTCAAGTCCCACTTGGAATTTTTTATTGAAAATTGGAAGATTTTGTGAAAAGTTTTTCTCGGTTTATTCTTTTGTTTGGGAAGTCTGTTCAAAAAGTTTGTTGGACGAAAGAAGAATATGGTATTTTTTAAATCTTCACAAACCACTGTTGTTTAGTGGTTATCAGTTAGCTGGAGCTATCATTTACTATATTGCTTCCTATAGCTATGTTTTCAGTTGTTATAGAATGTGTTCGATCTATTTAAGCTATTGTATTCATGAATACAGTAGCAAAACTCGGCGTGAAACAGGGGAGTCCAGCTAAGCAATTATTGTATTCGACTGTATTCGTGAATACAATAACGTAAACTGCGTAAAAAATGGTCTTTTCAGCTGTTTTAAAACGGTAAGTGAATCAATTAACGCAATAGACTCCTAATATACCTCAGCTAACTCAATTATATCACGCAGAATCTGTATTTCACGTTGTAGAAAAGATTTCCCAGCTGAAAAAATATCACAAAACAGAGCAATCTCTACATTTTCAATCCTTCCCTTTTCTGATGCTGTCGTTCGTGGAAGTTCTGTTTTCAACCAATAAAATTCGAGATTCATACAATTGTATACAGAAATCGATATAAATCGATTTTACATATGGCAAGTTTAACCGTGCTATTGCGTCATTCTGGCAAGCGGAATAGTGAGAGTAACTGTGTCGATTATTCGATTGAGGGGATACCAATAAAGGAGTATGTGTCATACAATGATTTGGTTGCTTCAATTTCGAAGCAAATCGAAATAGATTTGATCTCAAAGTCAATTAAAATTGAATACAAAGTAGAAGGAAATTGTACGACAATGAAAATACACAACGACATGGGTTACAGGGTGTATGTAGAGTTAAAAAAGGTGAACAGAGAATTCGGGATATCCTTTGTGTATAACAACAATTGATAAAGAAGTTGTAGCTGGAGGTAGTTTAATTCAAGGAGACCTTGTGCAAATAGACGAAGCAAATCATAGGTGTAATTTTTATACAGATGATACGCTTGCTCTTGAGTCCGTCAATTCAGGCGAACCAATTGAGGTGTTTGAACTGGACACAGTTTTGATTATTTTAAAAACTAGTCAAAGAGAGGTTATGGCTGGACAAGTATATAATGATAAGGCTACATTGAAAGAGGTGATGGAGCATTATGCAATATCTGAAAGGTTTTAATTCCGGGTTGATAGGTCTAATGCTATCAGGTTTGAGTGTTCTTAATTACAACTTGTTGAACATCATGTTATATTCAAATGTATGGTTATGTATTTTAAATTTTTCGTATATTGTATTCATGGTAGAATTTTTAAATTGTATTTATATGTATTTAGATATATTTGGATGTATTTACATGACTTTCACTGTTGTACTTATGAATGTGTTATATATTTCAAATATATGTATTCATCTGTATTTTACTGATAAAAAGTTATTACAGTAACTTTCTCTGTTTGTTTTTAGATGTATTTAGATGTATTTAGATGTATATAAATAATTACAGTCGTATTCACATGTATATGTGTGTATTTTATAATAATGTATATATATGTAACAATGTATTCAAATGTATATGAGTATATTTTTTAATAATTTATATTGATAATATATATAACGATAAATTATTTGCAGCTATACATTATTATGTATGTCAGAGGATTGTGAATGGAGATTTAAGGCTTCTAGCATTAATCACAAATGTTCAAAGTGAGAGAGTTCAATGATAAGTATACATGTCCGTTGAAGGATAAGGTGTACGAGCAACGTCAAACAAGTAGTAGTCTTATCGGTGATATGATTAGGTCCAAGCTTACTAATCATAAGAGGAAATACACCCCAAAGGATATAATTGATGATGTGAAATTCGATTTTTGTGTAGATGTTAGTTACATATTGGCGTGGCGGGCTAAAGAAAAAGCAATGAGTTTTTTGAGAAGTGAACCAGCTAATTCATACAATATATTACCAGGGTACTTATATACAATGAATATGACATATCCTGGTTCACACATTAGAATGGTAAAATCGCCAAAAAATAAGCTCATGTATGTGTATATATCTTTGTATGCCTTTAGAAAGGGGTTCGATCATTGTAGACCCATTGTGGTTGTGGATGATAGCCACCTAAAATCGGCATACACCGGGACATTCGTCTCAGCCAGCACGTTGGATGGTGCAGGTGAGTATGGGGATTATAATAAAATTTGTTAATTCTACTGCCTATTAAAGATTGAAATACATATTTTTAATATGTATGCAATTGTATTTACAGGTCATATACTGCCACTAGCATATGGTGTTATTGATTCAGAGAACGATACTGCTTTGTCGTGGTCCTTTGAGCAATTTAAGGAAGCATATGGTGAGAGGGAAAATATGTGCATCGTTTCAGATAGGAATGAGAGCATCATCAAATCTGTATCGAGAGAGTATCCAACTGTACCACATTTTGCTTGTATATGGCATCTATGTAACAACGTATATAAGAAATTCAAAAAGAGTCATTCAAAGTTGAGCGAGATATACTTATCGATGGCAAAAGCATACACATAGGCTGAATTTGATAGTGTAATGGAGAATGTACATATTAGGGTGAAAGAATACTTGGAATTAGCTGGATACGAAAAGTGGGCTAGGTTGTATGCACCTGTTAACTTGGGATGGACCATGACGTCAAATATTACTGAGTCAATCAATACCGAACTTGTGTCAGCAAGAGAATTGTCAATATACGACTTCCTCGAAGAAGTTAGGAAGATGTTCGGACGTTGGAATTGCAGAAATCGGAAAGAAGATTCACGCACGTACACAACACTGGGAAAACAATACCAGGAAATGCTTTCTATGAATGAGGCAATGTCTACACGTATGACTGTAAGTTTTTTTTTAAGTCATTGTATCATGTATTTAGCCCTAGTACAAGATGTATTTATTTCTGATACAATTTCTGCTATTCAAATACGAAATGCTCACTGTATTATAGCAATTGTGCATGTTTTCTGTTTCATGAAATGTTTAAAAAACTGATCATTATATGTATACATTACTTGTTTATACATTTGCATTTCATTGGTTGAATTCAATGGTTTTGTTTCTAATCAGATGCATTTCCTAAGTAGATAGTCTATATGTTACTGTATATTACTGTATTCATCGGTTAAAATGTCATCAACTTTAATGTTCTGCCAGCCTAAATATAGACTGTATTCCACGGTATTCAATATATTTCATTGTATATCACTGTATATCTTTGTATTTTATATCTTCATATATGTTTGTATTTCATTGTATTATATATACATATTTGTTTAAATTCAATATAGATGATAATTCTGAAAGATAAATAAAAAGTTTACTGCTGTATATTTAAATTAATTTTTTATCGTATATAGCTATATTGTATTTAATACGTCTATTCTTTGAGATATATATAACTTTTTAAAAATCTTCAAAACTTATAGGTCTATGTTTAAATGTAGGTTGTACCATCGACCGTATACTTGCATACGGTGACCGATGAAGGAAGGCATTACACCGTTTGCCTCTTAGAGAAAAAGTGCAGTTGTGGGCGGTTCCAAGTTGACGAATTACCATGCCCACACGCTTGGGCTGTCTTGAAGAGCAAGTTTCTAATGCTAGAAGATTATTGCTCGGACTATTACTGTCACGACCCAAGTTCTCCCTCCATGAACCGTCGTGATGGCACCTAGTCTCTACGATTAGGTAAGCCTAACATTCACGGAAAAGGAAACAAACATAAAAGCTATCAACTAATAAGCAAATTTAAAAAAGGAAAATGAGATGCCGCTCGGCGTATACATTAATCACATCCGAACAGTACTGAAACTCTCCCAAAACCCGGAACGTGATAAGTCACAAGCTACAGAAAGAAAACACTGCTTCTAAACTCCAGAATCTAACAAAGAAGAAAAATACAAGAAGTCTTTAACTTGAGGAAGAGTAGATATGGACTTCTAGGTCTGCGGACGCGACAGATATACCTTGAAGTCTCTACAGTCGTCTTGCCTCACTGGTAATGTGGCTAGAAAGAGGTAACTGGATCTGCACACAAAAAACATGTGCAGGAAAGGGTATGAGTATACCACAGCGGTACCCAGTAAGTGCCAAGTCTAACCTCGGTCGAGTAGTGACGAGATCAGGTCAGGGCCCTACTGGTATATATATATATATATATAACAAAATAATACGGAATGAAATATCGCAGTAAAGATAAATACTAAAATTAAACGAGAATGAAATCACAGAAAAACAACACCTCAGTACACAGATATAACAACAAGGGATCTCCCAGGATACCTTCCCGTAGTCCCAAACGTAAATGTGCATGGGGATCTCCCGGGATATCGTCCCGTAGTCCCAAACGTACATGTGCAGGGGGATCTCCCGAAATACCGTTCCGTAGTCCCAAAGTAAATATACAGTACAGGGGGATCTCCCGAGATACCGTCCTGTAGTCCCAAACGTAAACGTGCAGGGGGATCTCCCGGAATACCGTTCCGTAATTCCAAAGTAAATATGCAACTCAATCAACATAAACAACAGTTTCAACAAGGAATTCTACAGTTTAGACAAAGTTCATAACAAAAGAGACAGATAATTTCCACTAAGCATGCTGCAAATAGTTCAGATAGGCAACTAAGGCAGTTAAGACAGTTACGACACGTAGGCATTCTTTCCGAAGCTAAACATGATAGTTTTATATACTACTGTTGCTCAATTAAAGGAAAACAGAGATTTGCTTAATGAAAATGGGGTTTTTCAACAAATAACACGTGTACACACTCGTCACCTCACGTACACGGCGCTCATATATCAAACAATACCAAATCCTAAGGGGAGTTCCCCCACACAAGGTTAGGCAAGCCACTTACCTCGAACCAAGCTCAAATCAATCCAAAATCACGCTCTTGCCACGAGTATCTAACTCCGAGTGGCCCAAATCTAATCAAATCAATTACATAATGTAAATATATCTACAAGCAACTAATTAGCTAATGAAATCAAAGCTAAGGCAAGAAAATAGAAAAACACCCAAAAATCCTCCCCGGGCCCACGTCTCGGAATGGGGTAAAAGTCACAAATTATGAACACCCACTCACTAACGAGATCACTCGTGCAAAATTCATCCAAATCCGACGCCTAAATCCCACTCAAATCTCAAATTTTTGGTTGGGGAACTTTTCCTCCAATTTCCCAACTTCATCACTCCAAATCCTTAATTTACTGAAGAAAACAACTATAGATTAATGAAATTTGATCAAAATAGGATTAGGAATCGTTACCCAATGATTTCCTATGAAAAACTCTTGAAAAATCGCCTTCCACCGAACTCCAAATTGAATTTTGTGATATGAATTTCAAACCGTCGAAAATCCCCTTTTCTACCAGCGAGTTCCACTTCTGCGAGGGATCCTCTGCATCTGCGGTCCCACACCTGCGGAAAAAATATTGCAGGTGCGGACTTAACTTATGTCCTCAAGAATCGCTTCTACGATCAAGGGCCGCTTCTGCATGCCTGCTTCTGCGGTCCCAGCTAGGCAGGCCAAAAATCGCATTTGCGGCTCGGCCGAAACCAGCCAAACCACGTCCAATTGACCCCAAATTTTTCATACAAGTCATATTCAACACTACGGACCTATTCCAACTTCCGAAATTGGATTCCGACCCCGATATCAAAAATTCCACTGCCGGCCCAAAACTCTAATAATTCGACTTTCACCATTTCAAGACTAAATAAGCTACGAACCTCCAAAACACAATCCGGACACGCCCCTAAGCCCAAAATCACCCAACGGAGCTAACGGAATCGACAAAACTCTATTCTAGAGCCGTTTTCACACTGTTCTGACTACAGTCCAAATTCTAAGACTTAAGCTCTCATATAGGGACTAAGTGTCCCAAAACACTCTGAAACTCAAAATGAATCATCCCGGCAAGTCACAATAGCAGAAAAAGATACGGGGGAAGCAATTAATAGGGGATTGGGGCATTAATTTTCAAAACGATCGGCCGGATCATTACAATTACAAACCAAAGTCTGTTGTAATGACATACGAGGTGCCCGTGTATCCGCTGCCTGACCAAAATGAATGGAATATACCAGTACATATATCAGAGGAAGTTGTCTTACCACCAAATAGAATAGACCTCTTGGAAGGCCAAAGAAGAAGCGCGATAAGCCGTTCGGTGAATAGTTGCAGAAGAATAATCAACATTTGTGTAGCATATGTGGGCAGGGAGGACATAATAAGCGTACTTGTAGAAATGTTCCACGTAGGACTTAGTTCATGTTCTAACTTGTATTACTGCAATAACGACGTGTCGTAGATTCCAGTGACATTTTGAAATAATACATATTGATTTGTTGGTGTATTGGATTATTGCATGATGATTTCGTTTTAGAACAGTTACTAAAAATATAATTTCGTTAACTGTTGAATACATACTGCATTTATATTTTGAATAAATATGAATACACACAGGTGCAGTTATATCTGAATACATAATTGCAATCTGCTGAATACATATCAATACAAAATGCATTATACATACAATACAGTCTGAATACATTTGAATACTTGTGAATACAAAATGCAATACACATACAATACAATCTCATGAATATATTAATCTACAGATTATATTTGAATACACATGAATATAAAATGCAGTACACATACAGCACAATCTCTTGAATTTATCTCAAAACATGATGAGTATACAATCTGCTGAATATATATGAATACATATATACATATGAATACAATCTTCTAAATATATTTGAATACATGTGAATACAAAATGCAGAGCACATACAGTACAATGTCCAGAATATATTTGAATACATAATTAATCTCCTGAATATATTTGAATACATGTGAACATAAAATGCAGTATACAGACAGTACAATCTCTTGAATATGTATGTCAATACATGATGCATATACAACCTGCTATATATATCTAAATACATATATACATATGAATACAATCTGCTAAAGGATTATTTTTAGTAAACTGATGAATGCATATCGTATATATACATCTGCTGAATACATATGAATACAACCTGCTGAATATTAACTGCTGCACAAAACATTAAACAACATCAATATTTGAAATTATAAACTGCTGAATAAACACCGTGGATACAGTGCATAAAGTGAAAACATGAGTTTTTCTTAACAGAACACCATCTTTAACCGAAAAACATTCAAAAAACTGTGTTCACATAAAACTATCCTCCAAAACTATATTCACCGAAACTATTCTGAAAATATCTTCATAGAAGTATCCGAATCCATGATTTGCCCAACAATCTTTGAGGGTGCTTCATTCTCGCTTATGGCATTAGCGTCTATCTTTCGCATAGCATAGTCCCAAAGGAGAGCACCATATCTTTGACAGAGTAAATTGGCATCTAATGTTGTTTGTGGAACCAAACCAAAAGTGCTCAAATACTCTGCGTATGTCGCGACATGCGACCCACAATCCCTGAAAATGTAGATTGACACAATTAAAAACAATTCATATTATTAGTTTTATAAATGATACAAGCAAGAGGATTGAATACATACATGATCCCAGAATTTTGTTGAGGCGGATTCGAAATGAAAACAACATCAAAGGGATCAGTTTGTGCCTTGTCATTGTATGCTACGAGACCAATCTATGCCTTGCTTATCTCTGTAAAAATCACTGATAATAGATACAGAGGTACAAGCTTAGCAAACTTATCTATCTCAGAACCCACATAGGCATCATGACCTGCTGATCTGTATGAGTCATATACTTTGATACATCCCTCCTTGAATAAGACAACTGCCAATATCCAATGAAGTTTGTCCTTCATGTTGACTGGTATCAAGACATTGTCAACAATATGTCATGGTACATTAGCTAGCAATTTGTAGTCCCTTATGTACTCACATACGACATCCTATTCTTTTGGCTACACTTGCATTACTATCTGTATCGGCATATCTGTCA